CATGAATGGGTTAAAAACCACCATACCACTTCAGCCCTCTGTGTAGGCAAATTAACTAGGACAATATTGAAAACATGTGATATAAGTTGATGAATTAAGCTATGAAATTATTATACATGAGTAATGCAACATACTGTAGGTAGATCAAGTCTGTTAGTGCACTTAAGAATAGAGTTATTATTCCAACCTTGAAGTTAGCATATGATAAGTATACTATAGTCATATCTGCTCATAATAGGAAATACATCATCATTTACAAAATTCAACAATGTAAAAAATGGCATGGCATGAACATGTAAAGACACAATGCTTAACGTGTTCTTCTGTTGTAGAACCCTTGTAATTTTTGAAATCAATGTGAGGAATATATCCAAATTCATCTGGGAATAAGTATGCAATAACTCTTGTAATTTTTTAGCCCGTTATCACAATACTAACAATTATATTGATATAAAAGTGTGAAGCGTACTTTAAAACTAAAATAACATAGGAAGGTTACTACACATGCAATACCACTTGTCTCCATTGATCAATCCTTACTTAGATCAAATGTTGTCCTTGTAGACCAATGATCACAGGCAGTATTGAATATGGAAGGTATAAGGTCATGCCCCTCTTCACAAAAGCATAACAAAACTAATGCTCATCTTTGCATATAAGTACAAAAATGATGTCACAAGTTGATAAATCATGTTGGGCTTAGTTGGATTCAATCAATCTCGCATGGTTTTCCAGCCTCTATTGGTCCCAACTGAATAACATGCCTCCCTACCACATAAAGAATCAACATTAGTTACTAATATCAGATATAAAAGACAAATTCAAAAAGCAAATTACATAGTAAGTATTTATCGCTAGTAAAGGATCTAAAATTAGGCACTTAAAGGTCCATTATGACTTCACTTAAAATTTAAAATCTTACTAATCACTATCATCACTTGTGATCAATCATATCGTAAGAGATTTAGATAGAACGAAACAATAAATAGTGAATGCACCATAGTACATGATATAACATCCTAGATTTTAACTTTGGGAATTTTTACTATTTATAAGGTATTTTAGTCAAATTAAGTAAATTTTTGGTTAATAATGTTTTAAGGAGACTAATGTAGCTAATGGATCATTGGATAGCCTTAAAAGAAGGCCATATCAAAGTACAAGTGGGTCATGGCACGGAGAGAGATTCAAAATAAGCCTGAGGATCTCTGTACCATGCACTGTGACAAATGAACCAATGTACTGCGGCTTATGTACAAAATTTGCATTTTGTCAATCGCGAAACAGACTCGAAATCAGAAAAAGAGAGAAATCAAAGGAAGCAATAAAGGGAGCTCATAGTTTGTTAAGGCACGACTTTAGGATCACTTTGAAAGCATTTGGAGCTTGAATTATCATTGGGTAAGCTTCCCTTTCCTTCCCTTCTCTATGTCATGCCAAAATTTTGACTTTAGGGCATTTATAGGCTTGTTTTTGGTTGTGGTTGAGCAACAGACAAACTCATTAGCTTATTTAAGATTTTGAGGAGTTAAATCAAGCCTCTAAACCTATATTTATGGATTACATAAAGATTTAGAATTTTTAATAAGGTTTGGATGAACCCTAGGTAGAATTGGATGATTAAGAGCCATGCAGGTAGTGTAATGGTGTTATTTATATGTTGGAATGTTAAATAGGGTTAATATAGTGTGTTGGAAGGATTATTAGAGCTAAATTGAGGTTTTGAACATAATGGGTACCCTAGTTGTATTATAAATGTGGTGATTAATGAGAGGATTTGACAATTAAGGGTTTAATTGTGTAGATTAATCTTGATCGAGCATTATAGTGCTAGTGAATGTGTGTGGAGCTATTGGGAGACCACGATAACCCTTTCAGTAATAAAAGGATTGAAGTAACCGGATTGTCTAATATCTCTTTTTGTGTGTTTGGATGGTAGTGTGTTCAATTTAGAAGTTATCTTTTAGTTTAATACTAGCCTACTATTAATATGAAATTATGATTGTGAAGTTATGTGAAGTGGAAAGAAAATTTATTCTAATGCTTTTTTATTTGAAAAGCTAAATGCTATTTTTATGTAAAATTACTTGCGAGATTCTATAGTTTAAGTAGAAATAAGAAATTGTGATAAATGATATGTTATGGATATGTGTTGGGTGTATTAAGTATGTTTGGCATGATCATTGTGAGATGGTGGGAGTTCACCATAGTGTGTTATCAGGACATTGTTTGGAAATTCATATAGCATACTAGCACCATAGAGGCCTCGGTACTCAGTATTATATTGTTTGAAAGTCTTAATACTACAAATAGTAGATTGGGCATCAATACCTCTAGTAATTATGGACAGGGAAAATTTGTGGTCTATAGTAGGCGAAGACGATCTTAGTCGGGTTGCCTCCTACTAACGGTGAGTTTGGGCCAGTCTAGTCACATGAACTTGGTCCTATCAAATTGTCAGCCCATAGATTCAGTCGGAAGATATAAGGAGAATATAAGGTGGTGTGTTGATCATACATATCATTTTATAACTATATGTGTGGATTTATGAGACATATTATATGATTTACTATGCCACTTCACATACGCACAAACTGTTCTCACGCACGAGTAGTTGATTAGACTATTTAGTTACTGAGTCCTCGACTTACCCCGTGGTTACATTTTATATGTGAAGGCTCTGATAGGGACAAGGGAAAGGAAGGTGCAACCAAGCATCGAGGGGACTAGCTCTAAGTTGTATAGTCCTTACATCTATTTTGGTTTGTAACAAATATTGAATGCATATGCCAACTTAGGACATATTTATATAATTTTATGACGCAGTTGCATGAATTCTGTTGTGAACAATGGGTATCTCGACCTAGGTTTGTTATATCTATGTTGTAATGGCTGTGAGAAGTTGAGATACTAGTGCAAGTATTAGTTTTGTATTGACTTATGTGTTAGATTGGTTAGTGGATTATTTATGAGGAATTATTATCCCTTCTAAAAATTATGTTGAAAATGGGGTTTTGGTGACCAATTCTTGTCTGGGTTGTTATTATTATGATATCAATGCTCTAAACAGGTTGTTTATGGTCCATTTAAGTTAGTCTAAATAGTTTCATGGCTATTGGCATTGGTTTAGGAGGTTGGGCACCTTGGTAATGTTTTTAAATGAAAATGAGCTATTTTAGGTTTGGTCCAAATCTCATTAGGCTCAATGTTTGGGTGTGGGATTGATGCCAATAGTAGGTGGTTTTAAGAGTTACATATAGACGCTTGAATCACTCGAATCAGACGTCGGATGGCAAAATGAGGCACTTCAGAAGTTAGTCTAAAGAGTTGTCATGACATGCCATGGCATATTGTCTGTTGCATCGTGGCATGAGTCGTAAAGAGGGGCGTTCCCTTCTGTGCAGTTTGCTACAGCGGGCGATGCACTGCACCACAGCGCATTGTGCCTATATGACTAGAATATTTTATTTTATATATTATAGCCTGATGAATTTCTTATACTTTCATTGTCTTATTTACTTGGTTTTAAATCATAGTTTGAGCTAAAACGATATTTTAAAAAAGGTTTTTCTCAAGGTCCCATTTTCTCAAACATTTTTCTAAACCTTGTGTATTTTTCTAAACCTTGTGTTATGATGACCATTCGCCTTGGGATTAGACTAATTTTGGTTATCATAACGGTGTTCTGTGTTTGGTGTTATTTGTGTTTAGTAATGTTAGGGATGACATTACACATGACATTTAAATTTGCCCATTAATTTATCCATTGTCTAAAGGAAAAGCAATATATTTCTTGCTAGGTTAGGTAGAGCCCATTGACTTAACAAACGATCTCCTCCTCATATCCAACTTTAGGCTTCCTAGTGTACAGTTGTACTCCTGTTCTAAAGGCTGGTGGGCATTTGAGAAAAAGGGTGAAAGTAAGAAACATGAGCTAGCTTGCTTTATCTTCTTATGATCCCAATAGAGTAATGCATTATTTGACTAGGCCACCTTACTACCATTCAAGGGAAAGTTTTGAAGAACCATAATCTGCAATCACAAGGTGAAAAAATATCATGTTTACAAGGTAATAAAAATGTAAAAACAATCAAATTATTTTACGTACAATCAAATTATGTAATTTTCATGTACCCAAACCTGTTCATAGATTAATTTACATGAAATTTTTGAAGAGCACTGGGTTCGAGCAATTGGAAGTTTAGGGTCAACCTCAAATATGAATGGAGATAAGCTAAGTTTAAATGACAAGACGCATTTCACTTAAGTTTAGATGGCGTGAAGAATGGAAGAAGCAACTCACAACAAGAGTAAACCAAGACCGTACTCCCTCGGACAAAATGGCAACTTTGACACACAATGTGCACCCGTTTGTCACCCAAGTTGCTGTTTGCTCCATCGTAGATCAACTGTAAGGCACTCTAAAGTCACTCAAAACTTGTCGATCACAATTTGTTTGATTAGGGTACCTTGCGAAGAGATAGGGTTGTCTTTTTCAAAACTTATTACTTACAACTTGCTCACAGCTTAAATTGTCAATGATATTCCATAAAAAATGTCCCTCACCACTATGCTCTAGTCTTCTCTCGTTCAAATCATGCAAATAACCTAAAATGTGAGGGTCATTTTCCTTTGCAGAATGTTTTGTTTAAGACAGTGGCATTTTGGTTAGCACAATACAAAGTAAAATAAAAAGCTTGGTCTTAAAAGAGTATTTGGTTCTTGGGACTAATTTCCTTTTTAACCTAGTCTTTTTGAGCAATTTTCTCAAGTTTTTAATTATTTTTTGTCTTTTATATCTCTCAAGCCATTTTTTTTTTAAAATTGAACTCATTAGGACATTTTTTTTCTTTTTTATTCAGTTTAAACAAAGCATGATGATTAATATTCTCGTGCAATACACGGGTGTGAAATCTATCTAGTTCATATTTAATTTAATTAAATTTGGTTTGATTTTTCCCCAGCAATTGAATGCTTCATGAGCACAATGAACGATTTCCTTTGTAAAAGGGAGCCAACAAAAAAAAAAAACAAAAAAAAAAAATGGCGACGGGGAAGGAGGAGCAAGTCGGCAAATTTGCCCGTTCCATTCTGTAGTTGAGTTTGGATTGGTTCGCTCATGTGAGCCTTGGAACAGCGCTTCGTTTCCATGGAGTTAGAAGTGAAGTTGGTAGGGAGCATAGATAACTGCTTTGTATCCCTTCCTCTTCCTCTCATCCAACTTCTGCATTCCACACGCTCGGCGCCACTCCCTCATATTCTCGCTCTCGAGCTTCGCTCTCGCTCCGACGATCCATGGGTCGTTGCTTGGTCTGGAGCCACTTCTGCTTCTAATGCCATAGAGGTAGGTGCCTTCGCTATTCCTTTTCGTTCTATCTCCGTGTCAGTCCTGTCATCGTTTAAGCAATGAAATTGGGCTTTACCGGAGATGACAATTTCTTGCGAAACTGGGGTCTTACCTTTACTTAGACATGGTGGGTAATTCACTGGAGATGACAACTGAAATCTTAGGCATTTTGAATTGCACAACAATTTATGAGCCCCCCAAAACAAGAAAAAAGGAAAAAAAGAAAGGGATGTTGAAAGAAGAATGGTGTTTTTAAGGCTTGAATTCCTTTTGCACATTGATTTTAGTTTGAAAGGCTAGGGTCCACATAAAATTTAAAAAATTCCAACCTTAATGTAGAATACAACGCTGTTTTTCTCTTTTCTTTTGTCTATGTTGTCTTCTACAGGGTGGCATCCATGAAAGTTTTGTTTGATGGCGTGCTGGACATGTCGTCCTCTTCTTTCCAAAACCTGAGATTCTGTTGAAGACTATAAGTTGAGCCTTTTATCTACGTTGCATAACCATAACTTTACGTGAAAGGTTGTATGGGCATGTGTTCTGCAGGGCGGAAAATGTTTCTACTATCTTGCCTGAATATTGTATTCACATCACCATACTTCTAATTTTCCTAGAGTTTCTTGACCATTTTTGTTCTGGTCAATTGTTGTCAGCATTATCTTTTCATACGAATTTCTTCAAGTACTAATATAGAAAAATTTAGGTTGCCCAACATTTCGCAGAATGCATTTCCTTGCCAGATCGTACTAGAGTTCAAGTAAAAGCTGCTTCTAATGTGTCACATGCTTCTCTAATCACAATAGAACCCCATACAGAAGATGACTGGGAAATTTTGGAGCTGAACTCAGAGCAAGCTGAGGCAGCAATCTTAAACCAGGTTTGCAATTTAAACCATTGAAGCGTGAGGTTATCATTTTTAACCTATACTTTGCTGGGTGGATGAATTGAGCTTATCGGACTTTGAAGAATTTGTTTTATCCTCTCGTTCTGTATTGTGTTGTACCTGTATAGGACCTCATTTGCGTGCCTGATGGGCACTTACTAAAAGCTTTTCGTTACTTTGTGCAGGTCCGGATTGTCCATGAAGGAATGAGATTTCCTTTGTGGTTGCATGGTCACACAATGATTACATTCTTTGTCACTTCTGTTATTCCCAAGAAAGCAGTGGGTAAGATGATGCCAAATGCTTTCTAGACCCTTTTTTGGTTATATTGCTAAACACATGGACACAGCTTAAAGCTATCTAATGGTACTATTGTTTGCTTTCTTTTTAACCTTGTAAGCTACTCCCACTCCCACTTGAATTGTGATGGTAAGTGTGCTATGGATGTATTATTAGTAACAGTTATTGATTTAGCATGTAACGTGCTTGTAGTGCTGAGGTCTACGAAATGCTGGCTGCACTAAAATCCAGGGAACAATCGAGCAAAACCCCATTTACTTACTCAAAGATGCCCCTATTAAAAATTGACTCTAATGATTTTTTTTTTACTTTAATTTTTAAAAGCTTGATTTTGTTCCAGTTTTCATCCTTCTAGTGAAAGTGGAATGTTATCATACAATCTATTAAAGAACAAATATTTTATTTGGTTGAAACAAAATCAACCTTTTTAGTGAAGTGATTCAAAAAACTTTGAAGAAGCCAATTGATTTATCAAATAAATCTCTTGAATGGCTTATTAACAAATATTTGTGTTTTATATATTCATTAGCTGATGCACTCAGTATATTCAATTTTATTTTCTTCCCTTGTTCAGGCATTTGCACTTGCATGCGCGGGTGTGTGAAAGGATGAACGCTGATTTGTTATTTATTTTATTTTAAGATGGAGCTCCTAGTTCTAACTCACAAAATTTATACAACTTGGTCATAAAAAATATAAGCAATTATAAATTTGTGGACCAAATTTACTGTGATGCATGCACGCTTTTAAATTGGTAGAATAAACAAGTTAACATTGTTTTTTCAAGTTGGTTTTCCGGCTCAAAGGATTCTTGAATTTGCTGTTTCTAAATTATTTTGTAAATGTGATTTTAAGGATGTTGTGTGTTAGGAAGTGATAAATTTGGTGAAAAAATACTCTTCATTATTTCACTCACGCTATTTGCAAGAGTTGGCTGTGATATTTTAAGAGTATATCAATATAGAGTAATAAATGCTATCTTAACCTCTAACCACCAACTAATAGCTATCTATTAAAGCAGTAAAATAAATTTACACAATTTAACTACATATTTTAACACTCCCCTTCAAGATGGATAGTGGATGTCATCCATTCCTAGCATGCATGCTAACGTATGAAAATGTTTGTTTGATAATCCTTTGTGAGTATATCTGCCAATTGATCACTAGAGGGTGTATAGGGGGTACATATTAGACCACTTTCCAACATCTCTTTGATAAAGTGTTAATCAATTTCAACATGCTTGGTCCTATTATGTTGCATAAGATTATGAGCAATGTTGATAGCTGACTTGTTGTCACAATAAAGTCTTATTGGACCTTCCCATTTGATTCTCAAATCTGATAAAACTATCTTTACCCACAACAACTCACAAATTCCAGGTGCCATAGCTCTAAACTCAGCTTTAGCACTAGATCTAGATACTACATCTTGCTTCTTAATCCTCCAAGTAATGAGATTTGAGCCAAGAAACGTACAATAGTTAATCTTTTCCCTCCCTTGAACATAATGCCTTTTCCTGGAGTACCTTTCAAATACTCAAGTATTTGAAAAACCGCTTGTAGATGAGGCTCTTTAGGATCATGCATAAATTGACTTACCACGCTCATTGCATAAGCAATGTCTGGCTTAGTGTGAGCTAGATAAATCAATTTCCCAACAAGCTTTGGTAGGATTCTTTATTGATAGAAGGCTTTGGAGGAGGAGTTTTGAAATGGGATGAAGACTAGTAAGGAAAGTTTTGTGACTACAAGACAATTTCTCATGGCAAGTGAAGACATTGGGCATAAGGATTTTTTGATACAACTGTGGGTCCCTTTTCTCAAAGCAATAGGTAGATTAGAATCAAGTTGTTTAGAATTATTTTCAGATACATCTTGATTATCAGAAACATCATGAGAACTTGAAGGAATTTTAGTGTTTTCAGGAAGATCAAGAGTTACCTCGCAATTTTCATGCATGAGTTCAGAAGTTTGAGCAGGAGCTGTTTTAGATGATTGGACTTACGCAAGTTGAGATATTCTCTTTTGAGTGAAGACTAGTAGTGGACGAGTAGATTGAGGAGTTGATGGTGCTTCCAAGGTCTCACTAAGTAAGGAACTACGTTTGGTGACAAGAGGATCGTGACCCTGATCCTCATTAAGAGGGCTCTCTCTTTCAAAAGGGGTATTGAAATAAGAATTAGATTCGGAAAAAGTGACATCAACAGACACAAAAAACTTCTTAGAAGGAGGATGATAACACTTGTACTCCTTTTGAGTAGATGAATACCTAACAAACACACATTTAAAAGTTCTAGGGTCAAGTTTAGTCCTTTTTTAAGAATGCACATGAACAAAGACAACATGTCCGAATATTCGAGGTATAAGACCACTTGATGCATTAAAATCAGGAAAAATTGGGAAAGAATATCGATAGGACTTTTTGAACCAAGGATAGGGGTTGGAAGTCTATTAATCATGTGTGTAGCAATTAAAACAGCTTTTCCCCAATAATGCTTAGGCACATTAGTTTGAAACAATAAGGCTCTAGTAATATTAAGAAGATGACTATTTTTCCTCTTAGCCACCCTATTTTGTTGGGGAGTATTAACACAGGATGATTCATGTAAAATTTCATGTGTATCAAAAAATATGAATAATGATTGATTAAAAAAATCTTTTGCATTGTCAGATCTAAGCCTTTGTATCTCAACTCCAAATTGAGTTTTAATCATGTTATAAAAGGTGGGAAAAATATTACTAACATTAGATTTTTGTTTTAGCAAATAAATCCATGTTACACGGGTGCAATCATCAATAAAGGACACAAACCATCGAGACCCGGTAACATTAGGGACATTAGAGGGACCCCAAATGTTGCTATGAATCAGGCTGAAAGGAATCGAAGTTCTTTTATTACTCATAGGATATGAAGATTGTTTATGTTTTGCAAACTCGCAAACATCACAATGAAAGGAGTCGACAGGTACATCTTTAAACCAAGAAGGAAACATAGTTTTCAAAACATTAAACGAGGGGTGACCCAAACGACGATGATAAAGCCAAATCTGGTTTTTTTTGACTCGACTCTTTTTGACTGAGAAGAGGAGGAAGTCATCAAGCTTTGAATCCTACTACATTCACTAGGCTCATCAAAAAAATAAAGTTCATCTCTTTCTTCAGCAAGTCCAATCATTTGATTCGTCTCTCGTTCTTGAAAAATTCAAGAGATAGAAGAGAATAGGACATAACAATTAGGATCAGTAGCAAGTTTTTTCATGGAGATAAGGTTTGTGCACAGTTTAAGCACTTGCAAGACATTTTTCAGGATAAGACTATCGCTCAATCTAACATCCCCTTGATCAGCCACAGTAGCTATAAACCTGTCACCCCACATGATTTTCCTAGTACTAGGACATGGATTATAAGATACGAAATTCTTGGAGGAATTTGTCAAATGGTTTGAGGCTCCAGAATTCACAATCCAAGAGTGAAGAAAATCTCGTTTTGAGGCAATAAATACAAATGAAAATAAGACAAATGAAGGCTGAAAGGATATACCTGAGAACCCTAAGGAATAGATTCCTGTACTAGAACTAGCAATAGTCGCCTTGTCAAGTGACTCTAGCATAGATCTTAGTTTCTCAATCTTCCCCTTAAGATCAGTCTAACTAGAATTCTCCTTGGTAGAATTAGTGGCCACATGAGCTTGTCCTTTTTTCATATTTGGAGGCTTACCATGTAGCTTCTAGTACTTCTCCTTGGTGTGCCACAACTTCTTGCAAAGAGAGCACCGGGCAGGTTCTTTTTTGGAAGAGTCCCCTCATTTTTGATTTTCCATAGAATGAGAAGCAATATTCCTTAAAATCAGGTTGGAGCTTTCCACAAGTGGAGTTTCCATCATCACTCCTCAACGGCCTTCTTCTGCTAATATAATGGCAATGGTCTCATTGAGAGAAAGAACATCTTCTCGACCAAGAATTTGAACTCTTATAGGATCAAATTCTGATTAAGTCCAGCAAGATACTCAATTCTCTGCTTCTCAATGAAGCATTTAAAGGTAGCTGCATTATTAGGATCTTTTAAAGTAATGCACTAATAATGGTCTAATTCTTGCCATAAGCTCTTCATAAAGGTAGAGTATTATTAGTGCAAGACATTACCATTGAGTCAACTTGAGGAGTCATAGATTGCCATGGCCAGGACATTACTATTGAGTCAACTTTATCCCAAGCATCGAACTTGGGTTCTCTTGGCTTAGGACCAGTCCTAAGTAAATGACTAAGCTTCCCTTAACCCTTTTAAAAAGGTACGAACATACTGAGACCGAGCTAGAAAGTCGGCTCTAGTCAATCAGTAAGCAATTGGAACACTTGGCAACTCCCCAGAAACCCCAAACAAGGAAGACCCAGTACTGTCAGACGTTTTTTTTTTCGGACATGAGTGAAACAAGGAGAGAAGGAGATTTCGAGTATAACGAAGGTGACTGGAGACCAAACAAAGCCCAGATGTGCTCTCATGCACCAAAAACACAGCACAAGGTGAATTTAGTTGAGCAGCGTGTGGCGGTGGACGGTGGTCAGACTTCTGGGCTCAGTCGGTCAGCAGTAGGTGGAGGCAATGGTCTGGCTTGTGTAGGCTAGATGGTCTCTAGCAACAATGGGTTTGACTGTTCAGAACCTAATGCATCGAGACAGCTAAACTCTAACGCAAAAATGAACCCAATCTCAAAAAAAAAAAAAAAACCCAAAGCCTTAGATAGTCTCTGATACCATGACAAACGTGGTGAAAAAATACTATATTGCACTCACTATTTACAAGAGCTGGCTGTAATATTTATAAGAGCATATCAATATAAAGTAATAAATGCTATCTTAACCTCTAACCACCAACTAATATCTATCTATTAAAGAAATAAAATAAATTTACACAATTTAACTACACATTTTAACAGGAAGATGTTAAGCTTACTTGTTATTCTATTCTTGGATGAATTTTTGCATTCTAGCACATATAATTAAGTTTAAGTTTTATCAAATACTAATTCATTCTTATTATACATTATACGACTTTCCCAGTGCAACTCATGCCAGGAACTGAAGTTGCAGTTGCCCCAAAGAGACGTAAAAGAATTTTGGATTCACTTGCAGACTTCCATCCGGGCTCCTATAATAGAGAATACACTACAAAGATGCTGCTCCGTATACAGGATCCAGACAGGCTGTGTCACACAAGTGCTTGTGTCAAAGGAGTTGATCTTCATATGGAGCTTACTTCTGCTGCTTTTGTTCATCCTGAAACAAGCAAACGGTTCTCACTAAATAGGCTTCAATTGGTCTCCATAGTTCCAAGAATATCCAACAAGAAGGCTAGTAGTACTTCCAGAACGAATTTTATGAAAACAAAAGACAGTTCAACTATTAGGGAAGTTGACTCTGGAAATTTAACTGATGAGAAAGAGTATCGACAAGCAATTGTTTATCTTATGCTTTCAGAGTCAGTGGCTAAGGGGCATGTGATGGTTGCTAAATCTCTTCGTCAGTATTTGAGAGCTGGTCTGCATTCATGTATGTCAAATTGTCTTGCACTCATCTACCCTACCTGTATGCCCATGAAATCCAAATATTTTTCTGATAAATGAATTATTTTGTCTGACGTCAACTGAATATTTGTTATTGAATTCATTGTGTTTATCATTTAATAGATCTTCATAGTTGGAGCCTGGAATGTTGCATTTTTTACATTTTGATGTTGCATCATGCATCACAATAACAGAAAAAGCATTCTGCTATTTTGACTTGCAGTGCCCTTCCTGTGGTACTTAAATTTTTTTGTTCATGAATTTTCATGGCTTTGGCAGATTAGAATTGTGAAGTTTTGTTGGGGGATAGATTTAAAAAAATGTCTTGTTCTGGAGTGTGTTCTCCTCTCAGGGGTTGATGTATTCAGTTTGAAAGCAATACTAGTTTCAAATACCAGATTCTTAGCCTTGTTACTTAAATGAGATAGGATGATTTTACTTCTTTATGCTATTTGTTCTGAGGTATTATAATAGAGACTTAGATAGTATCAAATTTTCATGTGTTGTTTGTTAGATATTCGTAATGGATCAGAGTCACCGACAGCCTTTTCAGCTAATGCTGTTAAGCCTCCTTTTTGTCTTCAAACTATCAAAAAAGCTCATACTTCTTATTTTCTTTCTTGTCATATGTGAAATGGTTTCTCCTTGCATTCTTCTTACAATAATTTATTGCAGAGGAGCAATCACTTTAATTGTTTCCAGTTTTTCTCTTTGCAGAAACTTCCTCCAAAGTCAAATATTTTATTTAGACAGCATTACTCAAAATAATTAACACAGTCAATGTGTTTCAAATTTGAAGACTAACAATAGCTATGTGTCCTAACACCACTTTTATGCACATGTACAGGCCAGAAACTGGAGCTCCTTTATTTTGGACACCATTGAGTGCCTATTTTCTTGTGGAATGATTTATTCTGGATTTTTTTGTCAGAATTGGGTTTGTTGGTAGGATTGTTTCTGTGTACAGTTCAAAATTTTTGGCTAAAATGGATGGAAGATCTGTGGCAATGTGCAGTGTATCCAGTAATTTTGATTGCATGGCTAGAGTGGAAAGTTTGTATTTGTGGGGTTGTTTCTTTTTCTCTAGATTACCATAAAATCCTGCAGTTTCATTTGTGGTGTTTGAATGGATTTGGCAGCACTATTACATTTGTGACTTTCTTTGGTCAGTTACTTTTTATTTTCTTGTTTTGGAATTTGATGGTGGGGCTCATGTACCACATGCATGAGATTATATGGGGCTCTTGTACCACATAGAACCCCATATAGTAAGTTGCATTGTTCATGGCTTGTTAATAGTGTGGCTTTCTTTAGAGTTGTTAGATATGTAGATTTCTTTTTCTTTGGAGGGTGCCTATTCCTCTTCATTTTGTTCTTTCTTCTATCTAGCACATTCTAGTGGTAAGATGTCTTCACCTCTGTGTTATTTTGTGGTCTAGGTTCTTTGCAAAGTTAATTTCAGAAGATTACTATACTGCTATAGCTTCTATGTTGCCTTCAGTATTAAATGTTCGAACAGCCTGCTATACTTCTTTCCCCCCGTCTGTTGTTCAATGCTTGTTTGGGCTGAAAAATTTGTTTGTCCTTTCAGCTTGGGGAAGTGATTTTCAAATACAATCTTTCTATTCTTACAGGGGTCTATTTGAAGGCATGTGATGTTAATTTGGAAAAAGCTATTCCCTCCCTCTCTCTCTCTCCTTGCCACGTCAGAATGTTAAGGCAGAATAATGATGATGAGAATCATATAGATAAGGACAAGCTCACAAGGACTGCATCAGGTGTCTTTGGGGATCTTGTAGATTGGACGATCCATAATGAAGTTATTAATGTTCTTTCAGATGAATCTCATTCTGAAGCAGATGAAGAGTTTGCAAATCAGTCTGAGAATCAAAAGGGGCTACAGCATCTTCTAAGACTATGGTGTATTGCACAACTTGATGCAGTTGCTTCCTTTGCCGGTATGGAGGTTAATGCACTGGTGTTGGGTAGTAAAACTTTACTTCATTTTGAAGTGAGTTACATAAAGCTTGCAACTAATGGAAAGGTTCAGTTAGCTTCTAATTCATCAGAAAACAGAAACAAGACACCAGGAATATTGTTTTTATTGACTATTGGTGAAGATTCTTTGCGTCATGGAAAAATTACTGCATATGAAATTTTACTCGGTGAAAGAAACAAAATGAACAGTATTCAGTCAGATCAACAGCTGTTTAGAAGGCTGAAGTTCACTGATCCCGTCTCTATCCAATCTCTAGAAGATAAAATATCTGAAGAACATATTACTTCAGAATTAACTAGCCTTGACTGGATGGAGGCAACTGCTTCTGATGTTATCAATAGTAGGTATTTTCTGTAAGGAGTTTCTATCTGCTCTTCAATTTATTCATTGTTCCCATCAGTTTTATTGTGTAAAACCTTGAATGTTCTTTGCGTGTGTTGGTTCTATCATAGTTAGTTATAGATGAACGGGCCAAAAAGGAAATAATTCAGAGGATGTGTGAGTATTCAATTGCCAAAGAAGTGAAACAACACCATGGATGTGGTGTTTGCTTTTATGATGGCACCCCACCTTAACTCTGTAGGTAGTTTATCCATACTAATGGAGTGCTTATGTCTCTTCTGCTTTTTCTTTTTCCTGAGTTTTGAAAGAAAGAATAAATCCATGAGGCATGCTAAATAAATCCTCTTTTAGCTTTGAATATGGGTCTCTTAAATTTTCATTTATGGGCTTCTTAAATTCAGAAGCTTTAGATAATGCATCTCATCCTTTTGCCTTCTTGGTGCTGCACCTTTAATTTTTTTCTTAACTTAATGACATTGCCTAGTAATGATATAATTTGCCGTTTCTTACTTGTTGCAGGGATGACTGTATTGTTATCTTCTACTTCTGGTATGTGGTTTGATTCATACCACTTACCACTTCCAGGACACATTCTTATATATGGACCTTCAGTAAGTGCAATTTTGTTTTTATGCTATTTAAGTCCAAGATATTAGCAGGCAATAAGTCCTGATGGCAATGTGTTCAAATGTCAAGAGTCTGCAAATACTTGTTTACTCTTTGCAACATATTGCACCTCCTTCATAATGTCTTGTGCATTTATAAAATGAATTATCAAGTATCAAACAAATGGCATGTGTCTCTGCAATTTAGAAACATAGAGGTAGTTTACCAAATATTCTCTTACTCAGTTTGCAAGTCTATAGAAGAGCTTATTGTCATTATCATGGGGACAAAAACTGGATAGCTTATGTAAGCAGAAAGACAATTCTTACTTGGTGTAGCAATGTAACTTGTACTCCTGATCACCTATATTAAAAATCCTGAATGTGCTCTTGTTTCATATTTTTTGTGGTTTCCAACATAAAAAGTCATGCAATAAGAGTTACTGACAGTTCTTTTGTTTACAAGTGCTTTGGAGCAAGGTTGTCAAAATTTTGACTAAATCTTAAGATCTTAGTACATTACATTCTAAAATAACCGTAGCAACATGATCATGTGTAAGAGTTAGTACATTGTTGATTTTCTGACTTCACCTTTGTGCCTAGTGGTGTGGTATGCTGTGTTGAATATGATGGATAGAAAATCATAAAACTAAACCAAACCCACATCAATACTGCATGCTTACAGCCTTCCACGCTTGATTTGCTCAATTTTCAAGTTCATTTGGAGAAGGTTGAGAAGAAGATATCATAGGACCAAATTTATTTGTCTAAAAAGATGCAACGTTTTAGTTGCAGCAATGGACTTTCAAGTGGGAGGTTTTTTTGGTAGAGTGATTTTGATAGTATTATGCTTATTTATGACTTCTATTACATTTTTTTAGTTTGTATTCAAACATCTCAAATTATTTTGCACTATAATCCTTAAAATTTGATCCTAGATCTATCTCTTCATGTTGTGGTTGGTGTTGGTTTCATATATTTGTTCAGGTTGCTTATCTGATATGGGTGAATAATCTTTACATTTGACAAGTTTAAAATTATATTTTTCAGGGCTCTGGCAAAACTGTGCTAGCAAGGACTGTTGCAAAATACTTTGAGATGTTTGAAGACATCTTAGCACACATGTATTAAGTTAATTCCTACTTATCACACATTACTTTTTTTCTTTTTTACCACGATTGTCTGTAACCAATTAAGTTTGTTCGAATTTGAGGTTGAGTTCAGCATACATTGCTGTGCAGAATTTTTGTTTCTTGTTCAAAACTAGCTTTGGAGAATGTCCCAATAATCCGGAAAGAAGTTACTAACAACATTATGGAAGCTTTAGATCATGCACCTTCTGTTGTCATCTTTGATGATCTTGATAGCATAATTTCCACCTCTGACTCAGATGGGCCTCAACCCTTAATGTCTGCTGCTGGACTTGCAAGTTTTCTGGCTGACATTATTGATGAATATGGGGTAAGAAATTTTTTCAATTACAATTGATTTCTGAATATGTTATACTCAGTGTGGTAATCTCATGGATACTGATTTTCATCGCCATTGTTTTTAATGTATTCGTTGCCATATCTTTTGGGTGATTGTTGTAAGTGGTAACAAACAGAAGGAAAGGTTATTGCAAACCAGAATTGGCATAGCTATAAAGGATGATAGAAGTTTAATATTTATGTCAGGAAAGTGAAATGTGATAAGGAAAATTTTTAGATATCCAAGTTGCATTCTCTATGAATTACTAGATAATAATATTATAAGTTAAAGAACTTCCAGGTCACAGAAAAAGCCTGGTTATTCAGTTTTTTAATATTTCTCTGGATAAGGGAAGTTCTTGGTTGCATGCTGGCATTTGCCCGTCTCTTTGTAACCAGGTTACAAAATTACTAATATCATTTCAGAATATTTCTAACTACATTGGAAGTCTATTTTAATGAAGTATAAGAAAGAGAAGGGAAGAGAAATCCAAACAAAAAGATGAGGGGAAGAGATGTGGGAGAAGAAACAATCAATATGGGAAGAGCTGAATATAAAATACTAAGACATGGATGTAAAGTCTTGTGAAGATGTTGTTTTCTGTCATGGGGTTATTGATGTTGAGCTTGACTATGATGATTATGATAGTATGTTGATGGTTCTGCTTTCAAGGAAGGTACTTGTAAAGATTCTGCTAGGACCTTAGAAGTTGTAAGGACTAAGGAACGGAGATTCAAAGAACAGGGTATCAACTGAGGTGAAGGAAAGGCAAGGGATGATGAAATTTCAATTTTTGGCATTGTTTTCCTAGTTATATTTAAATCTAACAAACTTTTCCCTTAGCCTCCAAAGCTTTCCTGAATTCCTAATACCTCTTGACAAACATCCTTAGGTAAGTGCCTAAAACAATTTTATGCTGCTCTCACTATTGTGGAACACATTGTCTTGATCCTTGGCATTGTTTTGTTACTCATCTGGTGGCTTTTCCCCACACGGATTCTTTTTCTGGATTTCGTTTTGCTTTCCTTGCATGTTCTAATGTTCAGCATTTCTTTCTTTTGTCATGCTTTAATAGCATGCATGGTCTGCTCACACTGCTCTTTCTTCCAAAATTTATTATTAGAAGAAATGTCTTTAAACCAAGTAGTAGTGGTAATAATAAAAACCCTACTTCTCTACCTTCAATTATTTTTAGTGGTCATGCGAAAGCCTTTCTGCCAGTAAAAAAAAAAAAAAAAAAAAGAATAGAAGAGAATGCAGAAGTCTCGTGCAGAGATGGTAATGTGGAAGTACATAAGATACTCACTTTGATGCTCATACATTTAACTACTTTTATACATAATTATATGCAAAAATTATTGTCTTACTATTCCATCAAACAGGAGAGAAGGCGAAAATCGTGTGGAATTGGACCAATAGCCTTCATAGCTTCTGTACAAGCTCTTGAGAAGATACCACAATCTTTAAGCTCTTCAGGTTTACTACTTTTTGCTATGAATTGATAACATAGTGAAATCCAATAGGAACCATGGCTCTAGGATTCTCTTTTGACCTTTGCATTCCGTTTCATGTTTTGGGTGCTAATTTCTTGGCCCTATCATTATCAGGGAGGTTTGACTTTCACATACAGCTGCCAACTCCTGCAGCTTCGGAGCGGGGGGCAATGTTGAGGCATGAAATAAAAAGGCGTCACTTGCAATGTGCTGATGACATACTTCTTGATATAGCTGTCAAATGTGATGGTTATGATGGTTATGATCTGGTATTCTGCTAATTCTGGACGTCTTAATCAATAAGGTGTTTCTGGCCTAGAAGTTGTGGGTGTCTGTTTTCTTATCCATCCTGTTGTGGTTCCTTTTGTTATGTGCACCCATGTGTGTAGTTGTGTACATATGCGGCCTGCAATGTGTAGAGAAACTGCCATGGTGAGAAGAAAAGAAAAAGGTTGCCAGGAATGAAAGATTTCTGCCCTCACGTTGCTTAAGGTTTCTCCTTTTTTTCCTTGGGAAGAGGAGGATGATTTGTTTAACATTTTTATAGAGTTATTCAGTTCTTGGCTTGAATGTGAACGACTTTTCAAGATGGTCTTGCCATCTTGTTTCTACCGAATTTAATTGTTTTGTAAATGCCTATAATTGCATCTTAACTGATGTCTACTTAATATCTTTGATGTTTGATTGTTAGCCGGTGAAAGTTGAATATATTTTAATGACAGAAATGTTAAGACCATGCCTGAGTTGTGTGTTAGGTTTTAATTTTAAATAATTTTGCCGTCCAGGAAATATTGGTTGATAGAGCTGTACATGCTGCTGTTTCTCGCTTCCTCCCATCAAAAGCTGCTCTTAATGGGCATGAGAGTTCTGCTTTACTTATGGAAGATTTCTCTCAAGCGATGCATGATTTTCTTCCAGTTGCAATGCGAGACATTACAAAAACTGCTTCTGATGGTGGACGTTCTGGATGGGATGATGTGGGAGGTCTTGTTGACATTCAAAACACTATTAAGGAGGTGATATCCCCTTTTACAATTCGATATCTGCAGTCTGGAGTTTATTTCTCTTTTCCTCATATTCAAAGTATTATATTCTAATATGGCATTGATTTTCCTTTGTTTACACTTCAAGAACAAGGGTTTTTAATGTGTGGGAAATGTTGGGAAAAAGGGAGAGCATAAATTGGGGAGAAAAAAAAATGGAATATCAAAATAAATATATATTATTGAAAGACTCGATGATGGTGTTATGTACTCCAATACTGTGACCATTTTAAAGAATTATGCCTCTGACATTGAATGCACTCCAAGAACTATTTTTTTTAACTTACGTGCCTTTTTGTAAATTTTGACACCTCTTTAAGTTCTAAGAATAACTCTTCTCGTAATTGACACATCCCCTGCATTCTTAGCATCTATGGACACGGAAATATGTTCAATTTTTGTGTTATTTATTTATGGAAAAACTTATATACTTAGCCTTATATACTCAGGGTGCTTGTTATTAATGTAATCAAGACATGCGGATCTTTTTATTTAATTATTTATTCTATAACAAACTCTTATTATTAATATTATTAACACATTAAAACTTATTCATCTTGATTTGGTTGGATAAAAATATATTAAGTATATATGGTTAAATACTTGAGTTTTTTCCCTTTGTTTATTTTAAATTTCGTGAATAATAATGTAACTTCTTTATCACATGCATGAAAGAAGTTGAAGCATGAATAGTTAGCAGTAGTTGAACGAAAACTTATGATTGCTTGTGATACTTGTTTACCCTATCTTGTGTGTTTGCATTTTACTATGTTATTGTTTCTCAAATCTTGAGTTGTTAATTTTATTTCCAGATGATAGAGTTGCCTTCTAAGTTTCCAAAAACTTTTGCGCAAGCTCCTTTGAGGTTACGATCAAATGTCCTTTTGTATGGGCCTCCTGGTTGTGGCAAAACTCACATAGTTGGTGCTGCCGCCGCCGCTTGTTCACTACGTTTCATATCTGTGAAAGGGCCAGAACTATTGAACAAGTACATTGGTGCTTCTGAACAAGCTGTGAGGGCCTACATAGATTTCGTTTAGCATTTATTTTGTCTACAATTCTGAACTTATATGCATGTTTATTAGTCCATAAACTTTGCTTGATGTCAAAGTATGACACCTTACATCCTTATACAATGATTCTATCATAATGACTCATTATAATTCTAATCCTATAATTAAACTGATTATGATTACAAAATATCTAGATACATGAAAGAATATTTCCTAAGACTCTCAAGTTAATGGCTGTTTAGATAGAAGGCTTACATATCTCTGGGGTGTGGTAGCAAACTATGGATTTAAGCAACTAGAGCACGGTTAATGAGTCCTGAAATATTTAACTGAATTTAGATGTAGGAATGATTATAAGCCGGTCAAGTACAATGTGCTATGTTGAATATTGCTTTCAGGTTAGGGATATATTCTCTAAAGCAGCTGCAGCTGCACCATGTCTACTCTTTTTTGACGAATTTGATTCTATTGCCCCCAAGAGAGGACATGACAATACTGGAGTCACTGATCGTGTTGTGAATCAGGTTAGTGATTAGCAGAGTACTTCTTATATTATCTAATATCTTATATTGATTATATTCTGATACCTATGTTTTCACTTTTCACAGTTTCTGACTGAGTTAGATGGTGTTGAGATTTTAACAGGTGTATTTGTGTTTGCCGCAACCAGGTTAGTTTCATCTGCACAAATTTTTGTTTAAATTTTGGGTAAAACAGAGATGATTGACTTGGACATGAAAACGTTGTTGCAGTCCGCTCTTATTAATTCTTAATTATTTTTATTTGGAAATAGAGACTAATTACAAGTTAAACTTCTGAAGATAATTGCAAGACTTCTAGACAATAATATGCTCTGACTCCTGGATAATGGTAAAGTCCTATTTCTCTTCGGAGTCCCATTTTGTGAAAGATTTCACTATTATGGCATTCAAGCTGAAGCTTATTCTAGATTCAACTTGTTGAAAATAAAACCCCCTTTCAAAATTTTTTCTCCTTATGATAGCTTTGGATGTGTCTATGCTGCATGGGAGATGCAAACGCAAAAGGGAAATGACCATTATAGGGAAGCTGAGTGGCATAAAGTAAAAAATGAGATGAAATGACAGCCTCTTTGATTAAGCAGTCAAGGACTGAAAACTATGTGCCTCTGAATAAAGAAAAAGGTGTTGCAAGTTGAAATGGAGCGGAAGGTTGTTGAGGACAATAAGAATGTAGAAAAGGGATGTAAATTTGCTTGGTGCTTCATCAATGTAGTAAAGAGAAAAAAGTTGGTCACTAAGCCTAGGTACAGAAAGGGTTCTACATGGGGTGACATGTAAGAGTGCCCATTGAGCCCTTTGAATGGAAATCTTGACAATTTAAGGAGAACACCTCGCATCTTTAGGGGACAGTTACAAGTAGCAAAGTATAGGGGTTAATTGTACCAGGCCTTCAATTGATGTGGATCGTGTGCAGTTTAGCTTTCCTCTTACTGGCTATTGGCCTGAGGCTAGCAAAACTCACCACAGTGACCCACTTTTGCTAACCTGGACTCTTCTTAAATGTGCATTGGACTTCGATTTGACCTCGCTCCTCAGCCTCCAACTATGATTTTGTTCTGTGTTTACCCATGTGAGGTTTTTATGTGTGATTTGGAACCTTGGTTGAGAAAAGAAAAGGGCTAGTTTAAGATTTCAGCTCTATATTGTGTTTTGTTGGGTGCCATGACTTGCAACTAGGATATTGGGTGATAGAAATAAGAATGTGAGGGGATGATCATGGGAAGCTAGTCAAAGATTGTTAGAGTAGTTATTTAATAGTAGTTGAGAGTTAGCTTTTATAAAATTCTCTTTTCTTTCTAGCACTCACCTTTACACTTTAAATACTGATATGTACTCTAATGCTACCTTCGAATAATACAGTCAAATTCTCTCTACTCTTGCTCCCTCTCTCTCACATCTGTTATGATATTATAGCTATAAACCTGGAGATGGATGGCTCGTAGAACACTCAACTCTCCTAGGCTTTATCAGTCAAGAAGGATGCGGCTGCTTCCACCTTCTCCATTTCAAGGAAGCTTGATGACAATAACTTGATGGTAATTAGGGAGTGTGATTTGCTGTTATGGGATTGAGAGGTTTATCGATCTCTCAGCTATGCCACCACCTCAATTCTTGATCAAAGATCTTAGAAGCAGGCAGCTGAACTGAGAAATTTTTCTTGGTTTATTGATCTCTTAGCAATGTTTAGTCTAGACCAGTGGTTATATTCTGTGATTATCAATATTATCAATGTTTAGTTTAGACTGGCAGTTATATTCTGTTATGATTAACAGTATTAGCTTTATCTACATACATACATACATCCATCCATATACATTTGTACACAACATCTATATTAGCTTTATCCACATACATACATACATCCATCCATATACATTTGTACACAACATCTATCAATACAAGTTTGCTCTCCGATACATTCTCGCTCCTCCGTCCCTCCAAGTCTTGATTTCATCCCATTATCAGGGCTTGGCTAAATGGAAAACCTCAATCAAGGCACCAAACTTTCACCTCAAATGTTCTCTCATGCAATCTTTATAAAGCTCAATGAGAGTAATTAAGCTTCAACACCAGGTTATCACTACTATGAGACGGTTTGCTCTGGAGAATTTCCTCCAAGGGTTGAAGTAGGTTCCATCAAAATTTGAGACGAGGGACAATCCTATTGAGGTTTGAGTCAGCAAGGAGCGTACTGGCTATTGCTAACCTCTACTCTATAAATACTGATATGACTCTAACGCAAGCAATGAATTGGAAGCATTCACAATTGCAAATATTATTGCATTGCTCTAATGTGGTTTTTGGATTACAATTGCTTCGAATTTTAGCTATTGATATTTTTAGGGATGTTGTTTTTCTAAATTTGAATTGGAAGCATGTGATCATTTGAGTCCCAATGTTTGGTCTAGGTTTTGAATTCCTAGTTTGAATATGATATTCTTTTATTATAGCTGGGTATGTAACCAGCTGAAGTTGGACTTCGAATAATCATTGGGTTGAGCTGTGTTAGAATAGTGTGTTATTGAGTTTGTACTGTATGTTCTACACTTTGGCTTAACATAGTTTATATTTATTAATTATTAACAGACACTGAGACGCATTAGCTGCTTGCTAAGTACATAAAGATATACCCCTTCAGACTACTACAAATATGAGTGAAAATTTCATTTTCTCATTCCCTTGCAATTCTGACTTATTTTCTCATGTAAAAGCAGTAGACCGGATTTGCTTGATGCAGCACTTCTGAGACCAGGCAGGTTAGATCGACTCCTATTCTGCGACTTTCCATCTTGGCAGGAGAGGTTTGAAATTCTGACAGTACTTTCCAGAAAGGTGTGTTAAGCTACTGGATTATTCAATTATTGCTTACCGATTGCTTATATATATTCTATTGTTTTTCTCCACTGCTCAATATCTTACCATTTCTTACCTGTATTGGGATGGATGTTTTTCATTTTATTTTCATTGTAGTGCATTCAGGGCTATAACTCATAAGGATATTAAAAATGAGGGATGCAATGAATTGACATTTGCAGTGCTGTATTTTTTCTTCATTTAAATTACATTTGAAGCCTATGTATTATTTTAGATTTGGCTGGCATCTGCAGATTGTGAGCAAATTTGGGGAGCATGTTTGTGTAGTCAATAATGGACTTACACTTGAGGGGGATTGTTGGGCTGTCAAGTGTGAGCGAATTTGACTTGATGTGGAGAGAATTCTCACATCAGATAAAATTAGGCTGGAGATAAAGTATACAAGTGGAAGGACCCATAAGTTCACTGCCTTAATAGATTTTGGGTTACAGTGTGATGTGTAGTCTATTTATTGCATTCTCTTATTGTTGCAGAGTCCAAGTGAACTCTTCTTCCTTTGGGCTGCTCCCTAGGTCTAAAAAGTGATCTCAAAGCTGTTCAACACGGTTTTCTAGTGTTGTCTTTCATGAATACTCCAAGCACATCAAGACTGATTGTCATTTTATCCATGAAATGATTTATTTGTGAAAAATTGAGTATGATTAACATCTATTTTCCAACTTGAGGGGAGTGTTAAAGAATATGTATTTAAGTATAGAATTGCCAATTAGGATATGATTTGTAAGTCCTTATTAGCGTTGATTGTATAGGATTTAATAACATTGATTGCATAGGAGCCTTCTAATGTTATAAATAGAGGCTCACATTGCTCAGAATAATGCAAGGAATCATTTTCCCACTCTGATTATTGGAAGCCTAGCGTAAGACAGTGCAAAACAATATACTTAACCATGAAAAGGTTGATATTTTATTACAGTTGGAGTTTGTTTATATCTTGCACAAGAAAGACACTTTCAGGATGTAAAAAAACGGTTGAAAAGTTAAATTTTTAATGAGCCGTGATTCATGATTAGCTGAAAATTTAGATGGTTATATAAACATTTTAACTAAATGACATTGAATTCAACCAGAGACTTCTGCAAGTTGTCAACTTAGTGATTTACCTTTCACTAATTAACTGACTTTGGAAGTTTCCCTATGAAGACATAAATCGAATCTTGCTCCATAACGATTATATCACATTGACATATTCTACAATACACTCATGGCGATTCAGTAGGGATGCACTAATTTCCCAGATTTTGTCTTTCAAACTTGATGTTTTCCTAACTCACAATGATTTGGTTTTAATTAATGCAGTTGCCTCTGGCCAGTGATGTGGATTTGGCTGCAGTAGCTCATATGACTGAGGGATTTAGTGGAGCTGATCTCCAAGCTCTTCTTTCAGATGCGCAACTTGCAGCAGTTCATGAAGTCTTGGACGATGCAAACACCACCTCTGGGCCCGAGAAAAAGCCAGTCATTACAGATGCCCTTCTCAGGGTTACAGCTTCTAGGGCTAGACCATCCGTTTCAGATGAAGAGAAAAGAAGACTCTATAGCATCTACAGCCAGTTCCTGGATTCCAAGAAATCTGTTGCTGCTCAGGTTTATCCCGCTCCCTCCCAGTTTTTGTTCATGTTTTCTGTTTGAAATTGGAGATTTCACATTTTGCTATGCCATATCTGATGTGGCTATCATAAAATGGTGCAGTCAAGAGATGCAAAAGGCAAGAGGGCAACTCTAGCATGACAATGCGATCCAGTATAATTTCTTCTTCATGGGGTGGAAATTGCTGTTTTCTTGTTTCTTCATTTGTGTGCCATTTACAAAGTAAATATGTGCCAACCCAGGATTTGTTTTGGCCGCTTCATTGGTCGTTTTAAAATATGTGCAAAGTAATTTTTGCCATGTAAGCAATAATTTGTGTAAGCAATAATTTGTGTGATGTATCTATAGGTTCGTCCATAGGGTTTCTTTTATGCCTCGTTTGGTACAGGGGAAATGATTTTGATGGAAATAAAAATTGATATGAAAGTGACAATGGATATGAATATGAAAGTGGATATAGAATTTAAAAATATATTTGGTATGTTCATGGAATTGAAAAATTATTTTTATTAAATATTAATATTAAAAATATGAAAAGATAAAATGCTCCTCATCCTAAAAAAATTTACCCCAACCCAGATCATCCAAATCAAAGCAAATACATTTATGCAAGCAAAATACATTCAAGCAAAAATTGTGATCCATCAGAAATTGCAAATGTAGCCTCCGTTAACAATTGATTCAAACATGGAAGCAAGGGATAGCATAGGGGAAGATGATGACATCGTCGAGGTTTTGGAAACTGGTTGCCCATGGCAATGTTGCTACCATCGCTGAGGATTTCCTTGGATGCGATGGGGTTTCAATTGCCGACCAAATAGTTTCGAAAGGAAGAACTGACAAAGTGAATTAGTGAAGAACGAAACCCATAGCACCCTCTACGACTTCTCTCTACAAAGTGATAAGAGAGGAGGAATAAGACAAACGATAAGGAGTGGTGGAAGTAGAATCAGTGAGGGAGGAGGTCGTTGATGTTGGAAAACGAGCGACAATAGCTAAACAATGGAGTTCGAAGATCGAACATCGAAGGTCGATCTTCATTGCTGATGCTGAGGAGGTCGGTATTATTCATTTGTGTGAAGGTGTGAGGGAATAAGAGAGAAAGGGTAAAAACTGAAAGAGGATATGTGGAATTGTAAAATTGATTGTTTTTTTTATGGAACCCAATTCCATCAATTTTGATGGAAATGATTTCCATGTGGAAATCAAATTCAACTTCATTTTAACCAATCAAACATAAAAAAATTTTAATTCTATCTCCATATTCATTTTCACTCTCCAAATTCTATCATACCAAATGGGCCCTTAAAGTTATGGGGTAAAAATATCTCAAAAGCTTTTGAAAAGGAATATTGAATATTTTTACCTTTTAGAAGGGGTAATGTTGTTTTAAAAGTCTAAAAAGTAGAGCAATTTTATCCTTTTCAAATGGTTGACTAATGTTTGACTAATGAAATGTTAAAAACCAATACTCGCAAGTCATATGGAATGTTAAATTGACCTGGCATTTTTAAAGAAATAAAAAAAAAATCTAGAAAGATGGAGCCTAGGCTCGTCGGACCTAAGTATGAGGAATCATCATCCTTTATGCTTAAACCTGGGTCCACCGTCAAAGCTATAAGGACCACTCGAGCTTCGTGCCAAGCTTTAAAATGCAATCATCATCCCTCCATGCTTAAACTTGGGTCCACTATGGGGGTTATTAGGACTACTCAGGCTTCATTCCAAGCTCTGAAATATAATCTTCCCAAATGAGTTCATGCTTGGGGTTGGGGCTGTTCATGCTTCAAGGACACACCCCTACTGCCAATCCCATCGGATTCCCTTATAGCTCAGCATACGGGGCTCCTTTGGACCCGATTACATGGTGGATGATCTATTAATAATCTCTGGTTATTATGAATTGAACCTGATGCCCTTGGCTTCATGAATCTCATTTTTGTTTGAGCTGGGTTCGAGTTTTAATGGATGGATATCGGGTTGGGGTTGGTCTTGGTCTTGTCCAAATCAGAGGGCAAACTTGAGCTGACTTCGTGATTGTGGTTGGAGGATGAAGATGAAAGAGAAAGTTGAGAAGATATTGATACAAATTCACAGTCTAAGTCTTTCGACAATGGAAGAGTAAGAGAAGTATAAGAGAACCTCGAGCTTCTGTGAAGGAAATGCTTCAAGGACTTGTTAGCGTAAGTAGACGACGAATTGGCTTTATGCATCTCACTCTTGAGTCTTGACAGCATTAAATTTTGGTACAGCTTCTCCTTTTAGTGAATTGAACACTTTGGAGCCTTTGGCAAGAACAAGTAAGGATCCATCCTGGAAATATTGGTTACATACCCTGCCTTGGTGGCCTCTGGCGACCTCGCCTCTAGCAAAGTCGACTTGTTTGTGGAAGGTTTTGGATGAAGTCGACAGTGAAGTCTTTCTAGATTTGTTTTTTAAATTTTTGTAGAAAATGCCAGGTCAATTTAGCATTCCACAAGGCTTGTAGGTATTGGTTTTAAGCATTCCATTAATCAAACATTAGCCAACCCTTGAAAAGGGCAAAATTGCTCTACTTTTTAGACTTTAAGAATAGCATTACTTCTTCTCAAAAATAAGGATACTTAATGTTTTTTTTCCAGAAACCTTTAGTTCTTTCTTTTATTATCTTTTTTTGGGCCAAGAATATGGTTTGTTTTACTATCAAGCAATAAATTCTTACAAATTATTTGATGTGATCCAGCAAGCTGTTTCCAGAAACGAAGTTAAATAGCACGTTGTTTCCAACACTTTAGGAGAGCCAACTATTTTAGATGCCCCAAGAGACCCTCTTCAGATTCCAAGTGGTGCAATAACAAGAGCAAGAGCAAGAGCTAGATGAGTTAAAGAAGCATTACATGGATTTGTTCAAGACACTTTGACAAAGCAAATGACAATTGGATCATCAAGCCAAAACAATAATGCTAAAAATGTCACTAATGTGATTTGGGTTGAAGACGGAGTTGTTATGCATGTTTTGGGCTTGGGGACTTCAAAATAAAAGGCTTAGTCCAAGTAACATATATGGGAAGGCTCGTTTGGGCTTTAATAATGATAATTTGAGTTTGAAGTGCTAATTACATTTAGTCATTTGTAGTTGTGCAAAAATTAGATTTAATTTGGCAGATTTGACTCTTGAGTTTTCTAAATTCATTTGAATTAAGTCTTTGTAAATTTCTAGGCTAGAATTAAGTATCTTTCAGTTTTTTTTTTCTATTTCCTTGATAATTAAGTTAGACTTTAAATTATATCACTTAAAATACTTTGTACCCACTCATTTTGCAATCA